TATTGTAGATCTACTAATTACGTCAGGACTACAATTGGCGACGCCAAGGCATTACCGGTGGAAATTGGACTCCACCAGGGGTCGGCTCTTAGCCCTTACATCTTCACCTTGATTATGGACGACATATTTTGTGCGACACCAGACGGTGTTCCATGGTGTATGCTTTTCACTGATGACATTGTCCTAGTTGTTGAAGCAAAAACTGAGCTGAATAGGAGACTGGCTACCTGGAAGACTGCTTTGGAAGAAAAAGGTCTAAGGATCAATATTGAAAAGACGGAGTATTTATGTTCAAACTTCAGTGGGAACCAAAACGATGAAGATGTAGAAGTATGCATAGAAGGACACGTTCTCCCCTTAAATGATTGTTTCAAGTACCTAGAGTCTATAATACATAAAGATGGGGGTGTAGATGACGACGTTACACACCGTATAAAGGCGGGATGGATAAAGTGGAGGGCTGCTACTGGAGTTTTGTGTGACAAGAAGGTGCCTCCAAAACTTAAGGGAAAATTTTATAGAATGACAATTAGACCAGCGCTGCTATATGGATCAGAATGTTGGGCAATCAAGAAGGATCACGTAAGGAGGATGGAGGCCGCAGAAATAAGAATGCTACATGGGCATGTGGTAGGACTCTGTGGGACATGACACCAAACTCTGCCATTAGGATGTCATTAGGGGTGCTGCATGTATCCAAAAAATTGAGGGAGGGAAGACTACGGTGTTTTGGACATGTCCTTAGGCGACAACTGTCAGATGCGATCAGGAGGGTAGAGTCAATTACAGTCGACGGTAACAGAAGGAGATGACGACCAAGGCGGAAGTGGGAAGACTGCTTGAGATCCTTTTTGAAGGATTTAGCCCTTACCAAGGACATGACCTCTGATAGGAAAGTATGGAGACTTAAGACCAGGGTAGTCGAGTAGTGCGGGTCTCAGCCATAGGGTGTAACATCTCTGTCTTCTTTTTACTGCCTTTGTAGTAATTTCCATGACTTCTACTTTATATATGTTTATGTCATTGGAATTTATGAAGGCTTTGAACTAGGGTAGCGGAGTAGTATTGCCTTAGTTTAGGTGTTAACCCATTTTACTTTATCCCTTCTCGTAGCTTGCAATCGTTGACTATTGTGTGTCATTCTCTTCAGGTTTCCTCTTTTTAAAGTTAGCCGGGTCTTACGTTTTCTGTATGTATACATAGATTTTTACGTAGGGATTTATTTGCAGGGATTACTTCCCATTATAGACGCGCATATGAAGATTGCATATGAACACTGTTCATCTATGTATTTATTTATTTATTACATGCATTGCATTTTATCTTTATTTTTAACTTTCTAACTATCGGAGGTCTTTCACGGAAGCTTCTCTCAACCTGGCGTTGGGGGCAGCCTACTACCCTACCTCTCCCTTACCCTATTGCATATGGGAATAGGGTTTCATTATTGTTGTTGTTGTTTTTATACATCGTAAGGAGCACACTGACCTTTTTAGCTCATTCCGTATATTTAACCTTTTCAGATAATAGCAGACTAGACTAGCAGACTTGGCATCAGGAGGACCGACTACTCTTACTTTTGTACTACTATATATCTTTATATGCCTTTCATTTATATTTTGGTGACATGTGTTTTACTACCGTTTTGATATATTTGTATTACCGATATTTTATTCCGTAAATGGTTTATACGGTTTTCTGCGGTATTTTGATATGTATATGTTTTATACAGTTTTCTGCCATATGTATACATATATGTTTAAATATGAAAAGAACCTCTGAATGCGATATGTGATCACCTAGATTAGGTTTAACGTCCAGGCGGGGTCTAGGAGGTTACACTTCTAATGTAATGCTTTTTACATGTAAATGGAATAAATAATTCATTTCTTCATCTTTGTAATATCATAAATCATAAAACAAATCAAATGAATCAATATTTGCTGACCATAAAAAAACTTATGGAGTATTAGTAAGAAACATCGTTTTAGCTATAATTTAACCTTAAATCTAGGTTTTCCTCCGAACAGTTTCCCTCCCTCATAAAAAACAAAGAGTAAACTACATAAATGGTTTTTTAATTATAGGGCACTACTTTGTTGAGTTATTCAACCATTATAAGTTACAAAATAGTCATTTGACTATTCATATGTTCCAAGTTCGTCCCTTTCTATTAAAAAGTTGACAACCAAGAATGGACCAAGTGGGGTGGGGGCAATCGCCCCTGAAAATTTAAAATTATCATATTTTTAGATTTTTTTTCTATATATTTTCTATTGAAAACATGTTTTTGCACCTAGAATTTTATAAGTTCATATCTTTCTAAAATTTTAGAAGTTCGCTCCTTTAACATGAAATCTTGTGTTTGTTCCATGTTGACAATCGTCTAAGCTAGACGATAACTTATTGGATGAGATAGGGAAAAATCATATTTTAATGATGTCTATAGGCACCACTGTTTCTCTAAGTACGGGCTCGACGATATAATGTTTCAAGCACTGGCTCGATGACATAATATAAACGGAGATTCGATCCATAAAATATAACTCAAACGGTTTTGAGATCAGATTTTATCATATTCTAGTCAACAAATTAATGTATAGTTAAGTGATCATTTTGTAACCTATAATAGTCGGGAGACTTAACAAAGTAATGTCTTATAGTTGAGGTATTATTTGTCTGCTTTACCCGAAAACAAAAACTTCTATAAAACCATTTAATGCATGAATCAAAATCAAGATGGATCATTTTACTAATTCAACACTGACTTAAAAAAAATGTATTAATTTATTAGTTGAACATAGACTAGAAAAAAAGACAAGTACTAACTGACTAGGTCAGCGCACACTACTTGAACCATAATTTCTATTTTCGCATTGTAGCAATTTGAAAATTGGATTAGTCTATTCATTCGGTTTTATAGTCTCGTATATTTTATAAACTTAGTAAAGGTGATTTGACTTTAGTTTTATGTTAATCTTTTTGGATTTTTTTAGTTGTTTTTATTTAATTTTAAAGTTTTGTCCTAATTAATTTAAATCGATTCACGTTGTATATTTAATTTTAGTGGATAAGTCTCTTAACATGACTTTTTACGTATACAAGAATTGGAACTCAACTTAAACAATATCAAGTTGCTTACCAATTGAATCAATCCCGTTCATGAATTTACTTAGAACTTTAGTCGTGGCATTAATCACATATAGAAATATGTTTTATGCATACACATAGAAACAATTAAATATTAATAATATAATAGAAATATTATTTTGATTTTTATTAGTTTGGAGTGAATATAAATTAGTATATATTCGAAAAAATCTTAATATTTGACATTTGGCAATGAATGACCATATACATTTATAAATGTTATGTTTAAACTCAAGATATCAAAAGATAACAATTATTCTTTAACTAATGAAATCCTTTAATTTATGTAAATTTTAATATTTTAAGTAAATAAATTAAATTAAAAGTGTTATGCCACGATAGACTTATGATTTTGGATACACGCGATTAAAATAAAGGATAAATTATACCGTTGACCAATAAACTATTATTCCTATTTATTATGACTATTATTTTTGAAATGTTGTCAATCAAGTCACTCAACTATTTAAATGAATTCAAACAAGTCTCTTATCGTTAACATTTAACAGAGTTCGTTAGTAAAACTAGCATAATTTTACATTTGGTCCTCACCCCTTACATACTCTACTAATTTAGTTCTAATTTTTTGTTTAATTCAAAAAATTAACCTTTAATCAGGAGATGCCAAATGTCAATAAAATATTCTAACATGCTTCACCACTTGATTGAATTCTTTTAAATTTATTTTAATATTTTAATTAAATAATATATTCACTAATCAGGTGTTGACAAGTGTCAAATTCAATTCCGATGATGAATATTATAACATATTTCACCGCTTTTGCAAAGTTCATCGAATCCACAAAACATATTCATGCTACAAAATCATGAACCAATTCATCTCTCAAAATCCATTTTCACGTATCATATTATTACGTTTTGATTTGTCAAGGAGTTATGTTTTTCGCATCTTATTATGGTGTTTTCAGTCTATTATAAATAAAGACTCTTGTTTTTGTATTATAATATTAATCTATCGTGCTAAATGATTTCAATACAATCTATGGAAATAATCAATAATTGAATTTCCTTTTTTCTTTTGTATTATGAAAATAACTATGATGTTTTAATCGTCCAATGTTTGTAGTAGCTCGGATTTAGATTATACGATTAAAGAAAACACTATGCTAACTCTATAGAAGGTGAAGTAAGTCTAAATGTGAGGAGGACCAAGTCAACTTTCTAAGAAAATTAATTCATTAAAGCATAAATAAATAAATGTATTGCATTTACTAATGGACTTTAGTGGTTGAAGTAATGGTTGTTATTCAGGTATTGAGTTTGAACACATCGTATGCGGGAATGTTTGAGCGTTTAATATCAAATGATTAAAAATCTTTTAAACAAATACAACCTTATAATAACTTCGACTAATAAAAATATACATTAGTTAATCACCATATTGATATGGAAGTATGCGTTGATATCATATTGTAGTGAAAGAAATTAAAATCGAAGTTGTGCCCATCCTCCTATTCCTTCATCATTTTATGCTCGAAAATCATTTCACGGCAGTAATGCATGTTCTCTTATAGTTAGTCGTCTTGTCTAAACCATATTTGATTTTTTTACTATCTCTAGAAACAAATAAATCGATTTATATATCCAATTGCAGAAATGTGTTTACTAAGATGTGAACAAGTCAAATCATGGAGATTAGGTTAAAATGATCGATTGTCTATACGTAATCTCATATCTGAATTTTATATTAAGTGCCGTAACAAATTTTCTTTGACCAGAGCAATTTCTGTCATAAAATAATATGTAATCGTTTACAAAACCTGTGTTGGATTGAATTCCGTCGCTATAAATAGAAGAAAAACCCTACGTAAAGAGAACCAAGCCAATCCACAAGTTTATCAGTTCAAGAAAATATACTTGTTAGGGCATAAAAAAATGAACATGGGTGTTAATGCTGAGTTTCAGGTCCCAGTCATCGATTTCCGAACCGGTTCATCGGATATGGAACGAGGAACCAAAGGGTGGCATCATTTGTGCGAGAGGGTCCGAGAGGCTTGCGAGACCTACGGTTGTTTCCAGGTGGTGTACGAAAGGGTATCACGGAAAGTCCGAGACGATACGTTTGTGCTGTTAAAACAACTGGTCGAGGAAGTCCCACTGGAGAGAAAACAAAAGAATGTTAATCCAAAGCCTAACCATGGCTTCATCGGACCATGCAGTGACACATCTTTGTACGAAGGCTATGGAATCGACGAGGCCTCCAACTATGACTGTGTGGAAAGCTTTGCTCAACTTATGTGGCCCAACGGTCACCCCCATTTTTGGTACTCACCATTCCGATTCATGTGATTTCGAGTTTAGATTTTTACGAAAATTAACAAATTATGATGCATGATCTTTTTGTGGCAGTGAAACAATACACACCATAGTGAAGCAGATGGAGGAGCTGAACAGCATGATCTGGTTGATGATAATAGATAGCTACGGATTAGGGAAGAAATGGGAGTCAGTGATGATTGACTACAAAATGTTGCTGCGTATGATGAAATACAAGTCCCCTCCACCGGGGTGGGAGTCGGGCCAAGGGCTCCATTCTCATTCCGATAAACCAGTCAGCACTATCATTTGTGATGATCTCGTCTCCGGTCTCGAAATCGAGGTCGAAGACGGTCAATGGATCAAGTTGTCTTCATCTCCTTCTTCCTTTTTCTTTGTGGTCGGAGATCCTCTCATGGTACGTATGATACGTGTAACAAATTAGTTTTGAATCAACATACACATTTAACGTGATTTAATTTGTTCAAGATTAAACGTTAAAATGTTATACATCTTCATTTTTAACACAGCTGTTCACAGGGACAGAGCCAGGATTCTAATTCAAGGGGGCTTGTTAGAAAATGAGAGGGACAAAATCAAAATAAGCTGGGGGGGGGGGAAACCAAAATAAATCAAATATTGAAAGGCTAAATACATGTTTTCTCCTATAAAATTTCTAATAATAAAAAATTTGGGAGGCTGTGGCACCCAATCATTCATGTAGCTCCGTCTCTGGTCGTTCATAGGTTTACCTAATAACATATATATGGGCTGAAGTCAGTGATTCTGATTTACAAACGAACGGACATGTTTATTATCCATGTGTTTTTAATTGTGTTTTCTTATCAACTCAATAATTTAACCTTTATAATATTTTTGGATAAACATTCGAGGCTTGCTGAATGGACCTTTGTGTTTTTTTATTGAATGAAACCTCAATATTTTCTTCTTGCCATTGAATGGACCTTTTCTTTAGTCTTTACTTAATCAACAAAAGCCATGGGGAAGTCAATGAAACCTTTTTATTTTGACGGTTTGTTTGATAATTATACAACACCATAATAAAAAAATACTTTTAACGGTTTATATAAATTTATTGTATGCATATATAAACACGGACCAACAACAAATCACATAAGGGTTTATTATGGAGATGTTTTCATGTGTTTTATTGTTTATATATGAATTTATCTTATTAATCGTGTATAAAAACTAACAAAAATTGTAGGCATGGAGCAATGGGAGAATGAAAGCAGTGAACCATAGAGTGACAATGAGCGGAGACAAAGATCGATTTTCTATAGCAACGTTTGCAATGCCAGTTGAGGGTACGATAATAAGTACACCGAAAGAGCTTGTAGATGAGCAACATCCTCAACTTTTCAAGGACTTCAACTTCATGGAATTCTTAATTTTTGCCTTTTCCGAGAAAGCAAGCTTCATCGAGTCCACAAAACAGATCCATGCCTTTGCTGCTCTCTCACCACCAGTTTCAGAATAAAACCATGCCCATATACATAGCTATTATGGATTTGACTTCATGTTACAAAATCATGAACCGAATCATCGTCTCAAAATCCATGGTTTCGTCTCATATTATTATATTTTCAATTTGTGAAGATAAGGAGTTTGACTGTTTTTCGCATCTTATTATGGTGTTTTTAGCCTATTAATATAAATAAAGACTCTTGTTTATGTATAATAATATTAATCTATCGTGCTAAATGATTTTAATGCAATCTTTGTAGATAATCAATAATTGAATTTCCTTTTGTCTTTTGTATTATGAAAATGATTATGATGTTTTAATTATCTAATGTGTGTAGTAGCTCGGATTTAGATTAGACAATCCGAAATTCTTTTGCGTTGCTTTCTTTTCATGTTAATCATATGAATACTATGCGTATTATACATGAATGATGTCAAAATTCTAAACAAAAATATTTTTAAAAGAAAAGAAAATATAATAAAAGATAAAGATAAAATATTTTACTACAATTATATTGAATTAAAGTTTTTCAAATAACAATATGGTATTGTAAGGCTAGTAATTGTAACTAAAAGAGGGATAGCGGATAAAATTGTACTTAGAGGAGAAAAAAAAATCAATATTATTTTAAAAAATATTTTTAAATTTTGATGGGTAAATTACAAATTTTATCACTGAACTTTACTCTCTCTCCTATGTTGCTCATTGAACTTTAAAAATTTTCAATTTCCTCACTAAACTTAATATATTGAATTTTTTTGTCACTGAACTTTACTCTCTTATTTTGGCCACTCCGCTGTTAAATAGTTAACGGCGTTAAAAACAACACTGTTTTATAGAAAATTTCACCAAAACGACGTCGTTTTGCATCTATATAACTATCCATTTTAATGTCGTTAACAACTTAATAGCCGAGTAACAAAAAACACTACGTATTAAGTTCAGTGAGAAAACTGAAAAGATTTAAAGAATAATGAGTGAAATAAAAGAGGGTAAATTTCAGTTACCAATTTTATAATTTACCCAATTTTGAACTTTTCCATGTTACTAAAATTTACATAAAACTTAATAATTAATTATGTAAATAAAAGAAATATATAAACATATTTAGACAGTATTCGAATTATTTTATATGTTTTATATCCTTTTAAAACAAAAAGAAAAATTCCCATTTACCACCGTAGCAAACAAGAAATTTGTCCCTTTAAAATCAAGTAACTTTGGAGCAAATCTTATGTTTGTTTTATATAAAACTAATTTACAAATAATTGATTTATAAGAGGTAAATGAGAGAGTCAAACCCAGGGTCGGCCCAACACATGTGCCACATGGGCGACGGCCCAGGGCAGCATGTAGGGGGCAGTTTTCTAGGGCATAATTTATATGTTACACTATTCTGAATATGGGTTGCAGTGAGTTTCCTTGAAGAAATAGCAAAGAACATGACCGCTTGTCAAAATGTGGTCTCTGATGCAAAATCAGCACAAAAACCGCCTGCACCACCCGGTTTTCTCTCCATTTCACGCAAGAAATTGCTTCAGAACCTTGAAATCAGTGCAGGAGCAAGGGTTAGCGCATGGGTCGATTCCATGAGAGCTTCTTCCCCAACTCATATTAAGTCTACACCTTTCATTGCCGATGATGAAGGTTCCTTGAATGTGAGTTCTTACCAGTTTCAAGCCTTGAACCAAAATGGGTTTTCATTTTTTTCAAAGGCAATAAAGATTCTGACTTTCTGTGATTGATGAAATTGTTTAGCTGCACCATCCATCGGCGCTGGATATGTTCGAGCAGATAATAGATGCTTCGAAAGGGAAACAAATAGTAATGTTTTTAGATTACGATGGCACTCTTTCTCCGATTGTTGCAGATCCAGATTGAGCTTTTATTTCCAAGAAGGTTAGTTATTTGTTCACATGTCACCACGGCTATTCTTTGCATAAAATTTCTGGGTACTTCTCATCTATAAATTTGACATTAATTTCACATGCTTTGTGTACACCAGATGAGAAAGACGGTGAGAATGGTAGCCAAATGTTTCCCTACAGCTATAGTGAGTGGTAGATCCGTAGATGCAGGGACAAGGTACATTTTCAGGCATTAAAATTTGATCCTTTATTTAATGTTCACACAATTGGTAAATCTTTTGTTGTTTTGAAAACTGCAAGGTATATAACTTTGTCAAGTTGGCTGAGCTATATTACGCTGGGAGCCATGGAATGGACATTAAAGGCCCTGAGAAACTTTCCAAATCTAACACGGTGAGTAAACTTATGTTTCTCAGGTCAAAATCTAACACAGAAACATATGATGTGTTTGATATAAAATCAGTACCTTGTTCTCGACTGGCACCTTGACTTGCACTTTGATCTTGAGATTCCAACGACTGATCTTGCTTTAAGAACTTGATTGAACAAAGTAGTTATCTGTTTAAATCATAAATCTAACATTAAACACTACAGAACCATACCATATTTACCTTTGATCTAGGTTTTTTCTACCGAAAACTTGTCGGAAACTTATTACCTGTGCACAATTTCTCTTCAATTCTTTCCATTTACTACTATGTTGTTAGTTGTGAAATTCTTGATGTTTATATTTTGAATTTTATGCCAAATGAATCCGAATGTGGAATCAAATAGGCCCGAGATTCACATTTAGCATCTCTTATTCTTAGATTACTCGGTTAAACTTATCTAATAGGGGAAGGATTTATGCTTGGATTCGAACTTTGAATTTATTAGATGCCAGTTTTTGAAGATGACTGCATGAACCATTTGAGCTTTGAGTTCACTTAGGAATGCTTATTCTTTCTCTATAGTGTGTGAATTTGGTGGTTGGCATGAACTAATCCTATGATAAACCCATCCTCGAAGTGTAGTAACGAATCAGCCCGGGATTTGTATTTAGCATCTGGAATCTATTTTCCTATTCTTCGACTACCTCGTTAAACTTTTCCGGTAGAGAAGGACTTATGTTAAGATTCAAACTTTGAATTTGCCAACTACCACATTTAAAAAGTATCTGCATGAGCGGATTGAGCTAAGTTTTGAGTTTAGGAATGCATCGTTCTTTCTCTTCTAAACCTTTGAGGTGATGTAAATTCGGTTATAACTTGTAGGTGGTTGGCATGAAGAGACCATATCCCTTTTCTCTAGACAATGTTCCAGGTCCCCCTATCATAAAATAATAGAGGTTTTTGCTTCAAAAAATGTACGAAGACATCGTTTTAGGTGATATTTGTAGCCTTGTAGGTTTTGGTTTATACTAGTATTGATATTATTTGACTATAATTTTTATTACATTTTTGTTTTAAAAAAAATTATTTATGTTTTGTCTATTATACGGTACAAGTATAGGGGCATAAAATTATTATCTCGCCCAGGGCATTAAAACTCATTGGACCGGCCCTGGTCAAACCCCGGCATAAATGTCAAGTGCATCGTCACTTAAAGTGGAGACAAAGTAGGAGAAATAGTCGGCAAATTTGAAAGGGCGGTAAAGGAGCGGATGTTCACTGTCGACCAGTTCACGCGCCGCCTCAATCATCACTCCTTCCTTCGGCAATGTAAACAGCCCGAATGAGTACCTCTCTTTGTCCCCCTTCATCACCACCCTATGTTTCACTGCAACCAGTCTTCCGTTGCTCCATGCCTACATAGTATTGTTCGATACATTTTGCCGTGATAATAAATTTAAATCAAATTAATCACTCAAAGTAGTTGAAATCTAAAAGGTAAAAATGTCTAGAAGAAAAGAATAATTTTGAAAACTAATAATTTATATATACATACTTTAAGTGCATCGCCAACGATGACAACTAAAGCATCTTTGGGAACCACCACTTCTTCCCAACGGCCTTCTTTAGTTACAATCTCAAGACCTTGAACTTCATTTTGGCATAGAACAGTGAGGGCGTTCTTGTCTGTGTGAGGCACGAGCCCCAGATTTTGGTCCTCCGTCGCTGGTACTCGGTACTTCATCACCCTCAATATGCTGCTGCTGTCCCTCACTAATGCCTCGTACTGCTTTTCTTCGATGCTGAAACTCTCGAATAACATTCCCAGGATCGTAAAGCTTAGCTCTAGCATCTTCAAACTCATCATATTGAGTATCTCACTGTAGAAAGGCATTGAATTCTTTTTGATCAGTAACGAAAAATGATATCGCAACCATTGATTCTTAGCGACGGGAAAGATAAAACTTTCAGTGATGGTTCAAAGTGACACTAATACACAAATTTGTTTTTCTTTTAAAAAAACTTACCGTTTTTAATATATGGAATGACATATGGATTAATTAGTCTGAAAATGTTATTAATAGTGGGGTTTTATGATTGGTGATTGAGGGCATTATGTTGACCAGTATGTTGACCAGATTACAGCCGAGCATTTGACAAAGACGTAAATGAAACTGTAAGCGAAGACCAGTTACAAAAGGACCGGTGAGTTTATTTCTCTGTGGTGATGATGATTTTGTTTCCAGCAAAGGCATGTGCAGTCCAGTTTATGAAATAACAATGTTATCTATATATATAAAGCTGGCACTGTATTAAATGCAAATCTATTTCAGGGATAAGCCCTATTAAATAAGGAGGCTGGTAGTGAATGCGTTTGGTGGCAGCCATTATCATGTCAAAAACTAAAGCTTTCTACTGTCATTAAAGCTAAAGATAACGACTGTGGGAAAACCTAATCAAACTAGCGGGTTTTGTTTCGAAATCTGGAATTTACAGTGAAGCATCGAGTTATGCAAATGGAGCTGATCGATAAACCCATTATTCAGAAACAAAAACCAGAGGAGAATGAATGCATTTTACCAGAAAGCGGGGTTTCCTTGAGGCCACATGAGGCGAGTGAAGTCTTGAGTAGCTTCGAACCGGGTGGCGTCGTCGATGCCGAAGCTCTCGTGCAAAGGAACAACGGGACACTTGCCCTGGTAACTCCGGTAAGGCTTGGGTTGCTGGTACTTGCTCTTTGTCTCCTCGGGTAGATCGAACAGTGCCTTCATCCCCACCAGAATATCTTCACGGAGGCTTGTTGGGATCTTATCGTACATACTTAGCACAAAACAACCGTGGCTCTCGCATGCCTCCCTCACTTTGCTGCACAACGCTTTCCATCGCTCCGATGATGATGATCGATCGTTTTCTACGTCTTCGCCTGAGAATTCGATAACTGGGATCTTAGGCCCCACATCCATCTCACAATCTT